TTTTTCAATTTCCTGTCGATTGATGTAATTTTTATCTGAAAATACATATATTCTGAGTATGAAGTGTCGCGTCGAAAACTGCTACTATGATTTTGAACATGGGAACGATTTGCTAATTTTTCAACCATGATCATGTCTAGTCATCCAACGCCTTGATCTTGCCATCAAAACATCTATCCAGCCATCAGAGACTCTAGTCAAAGCACCGAGTGTATTTTCCAGCGACTTCCGGCAACTTCCGGCAACTTCTGACAACTTCTGAACTCTTGGCAACCTCACGCGGCACATCAACTTCTGACAACATCTCTGAACTCCTGACAACTTCTGGGATCTTCCGACAACTTCTGAACCAATCACATAAATCGTTAAATATCTTCTCATGAACTCTCATAGTTCCTGCAATAGTGCCCTCATTTTCAAAAATAGCACCCAACTGCTGAAAACGCGTTCTATGCACAGGCAGTGTATTAATAACAGGCATTCGAGGTAGTAAATCATTTGCAGTACTAAAAACACTTTTAACCCCATCATCATGAACCTTTCGAACAGCATCTGAAATAAGACATGATGTTATTTGCTTCCGAAGCCCATTATCATTGCCTGCCACACCAGGTGCATCAATGATTTCTTGCAGTGTTAGCAGTCTTGTAGAATCATGCATGATCTGAGTTAGACCAGATTCTGGGAATCTCGGGGGGAAATACCACAGCAGCAGTAGTCACAGCAGCCCATGGAATCGTTGTGCCCGATTGTCTCGTCTCGTACAGTCTCCTTGAAGTTCATATTGTCATAGACTATAACGGCTCGAGGATCTTTGACAAGCTGCCGAAGTTTAATCTAACAGTAAGAATTAGTCAAGTGATTGACTCAGAAGTTGATAGAAGTTCAAAGAACATGCCAGAAAATGACAGATGTTATCAGATATTACTAGAAGTTTGAGATGTTAGGTAGAAATATTAATAAGTTAAGAATATTAAGTCATACCTTCTCTCGTTTAGCAATTTCCATCATCAATCTATTCCCCATCACATAGCTGTGACAGAGTCCAAAGCCAGAAATGGTTTCTATCACTCGTCGTTTTACTCCCGAGCCATGAAAATATGCAGAGAGAATAGAGCTGAAGAAGTTTGAGTTTTTCAAGGAATAAGAGTGGCATATAATACTCATAATAACAAACAACCGTTTGATAGCTGTTGTTTCATCTGAGCCCCATTCATAGCTCTTTCGATTGGCGCGTTTATTTTTTAGAACAGGAGTAAGTAGGTCAAACCAGGTTGGCGCGTCGGTCCGGATGGTCTCAAAAGCAGCCTGGAAGTCAATGGTATCCAGATCAGAATCGTGATTGAATTTTGCAAAGAAGGGAGTATTGATAAGGCATTTCAGCTCCTGTTTAAGCAAGACAGTATAACGTTGATTATCATTGAATACCCCTGCTTTGGAAAGTGCTGAATATAGTGCATTTCGCCGCTTCGTAGGAGTACTGTATCGTCGATGAGTCAAGATATCGGGACTCTGAATCCAAGCCTCTATAAAGGCCTCCATTCCCCAACTGTTTCGCTGTAATGTTCTGACAACGCGAGATAATTTTGACCGTCTTTTCTGCCGGTTATAAGGCATTGTAGGCAGGTGCTGTGGGCCACGGCGGTTTGATCGTGAACAAGCTCGCGGGGTATCGGTATCAGTATCGGTGATCTCGAATTCCGAAGGAGTATCAATAGATTCAAGCTCTGTTAAGTCACTGTCTGATGTGTCATATTCATCATCTACATTGTTGGGAGACTGTAGTGGTTGTAGAGAGGATTCATCTTCGAGTGATGAAGGATATTGGCTGGAGCGCGTCTGACATTGGGTGTCTCGAGATTCAAAAGACACGCTGTCTTTTGTCAACGATTGTGACATAATGAGAAGGGGTAGTGAGTTGTAAAATAGCAGAGATGATAGCAGAATGGCTGAGGATTTGAAAAATATCGGTTTGGTGATGATCAGGCAGATATTTAAGGTAGATGTATGATTTCGAAGTCAATCGAATATTTTGGATGGAACCGTTTCTTCTCAGACTCTCTACGAGATATTAGGTTGCGAGCACGTGTGAAGTCTCTTATTGGTCCAGAAGTTAGCAGGACTTGGCAGAAGTCTAAAGGAGTTTAGTTGGTCGCGCTAATCCGAAAATATCGAGAAGAGAGGCTGAGCATGCTGAGATAAGTGGACCACTTCCTGGGACACTAAATCACATGATATAATATAGTTTGGAAAAACCGATCAAACAAATACAACTTCAGCCTCACACACTCATAGATATAGTATTTAGTAATAATGAATATACTGTAAATCAGCTTACTACAGTAGTAGCTTTAGTTGTTCAAAATTGTGAACTCAGTCAATGGGAAGCTGTCTGATTATATAATACTTCTAAATCTGAAAGATCAGATATGTATTATTTTTAAATGTGAAGTCTGTGTTTAACATCTGAACATCTCTACATTGATCTCTATTGCAGTACACTTTACCTAGGTATACCGTATCATGGGGAATTGCCTTCCATGGTTTAGCGCTATCCTGATCGGGTTTAGCGCAACATCGCCGCTTTTCTGGAGTATATAAATCCCCTCCCCCCGCCGCTCGAACATCCTCTCTCCATCGTCCCTATTTTCCCTTTCTTTCCTCATAATTCTCTTGTCTCGTGTGTGCCGTGCCCATCCCCTCTTTCCCCTTGGGCCCACTGCTAGTGTCACCTGGCCCGGCTGTGCCGCAGCTGAAACTGTTCTCGACATGGTGACCATGTCCACTTTCCCTTCTTCCCAGATGCAATTTCGCCTCACTCTACCGTCAAGTTACCCTAAAATCATGCACCACACCGAGGCCCGCTACTGGAATATCTAGTCTACGCTGCACTGTGGCTGGCTGAGGTTTCCTGCTCACTTTGTCGATCTCATTTTCTTGTC